CTTCTATTTGGTTCAACATCTCACTCTCATTCAGATAGACATACGAAGGTGGTTAACGGGAGCCTAAGAAACTTCTGAGTTATTTTGTGAGGAAAGAATATTAAGCAGTGTGATCTGATTCTAGCCCAAGCGAAATTTGATAACAATCAATTCGTAAGCCAGAACATGAGACGCAATCCCTTCGAGATTGTGTATTGGTGGAACCCTTTTGAGATTGTGTACTAGTGGAACCCCCATCACTCCACTTGATGTGATGAGATGATAAAGATGATCACTAAGCATAATTGCAAGTACCAAACACAGACCAACAATTCTAGGAAACATATGACTTTTTAAGGGCCTATTTGGGGCAGTTGCAGCTTATTCAGCTTATGCTGATAAACAACTTATCCTGATAATCTGCTGATGAGTAGCTGATCCAGATAAGCTGGCTGACTGTTTGGTTTGTGTGTTTGGAAAATAACTGATTCTGGATAAATTACCTTTCTGCCCATGTTCTGGATAAGCTGTTTAGCTGTTTGTTTTGTGCGTTTTGTAAACAACTTTTTTATAATTTTTTTTTGGTAAATGACTATTCGGGCACTACGCAGTGTTTTTTTTGTAACAGAATTGTAACGGCTACACATTTAACAATTGAGAACCAAATAAACCAATTCATTACAGTACAAAAAAATATTATACATTCCACTTAATAGTGAATATCAAGAAAACATGAATTTCTAACATAATAAAAAAATGAATTTGACAAATATATAAAAAAGATTCAACCAAAGTTTATATAAAAATAAAAACTCATGATTCAAAGTAGTAAACATAAATAGATGAAAATAGATGAATAATCTACCATCAAAAGAAGGCAGTAGACCCATAATGATGGCGATTTTATTTGTCAGGAACGCTTGAATTAGATTTTTGTATGTAGAAAAACATATAATAAGGGCAATTCAAAAGAACCACCTGCGTCATATGACTTAGCATAACCCTCTAAAAATAGAATTTCACAAACCCAAATCAAAGATTTAAACAAAGTATAAAGAAAGTAAAAATAACCAAGTTTAGATGTTAGATATAAATACATATAAACTTTGTGGTATGCATGCACATCCTCATAAAAAATATCAAAGTTAAAAGTAAGCATAAATGAGCCCATACAAAGAAATGAGCCCATTGCACTCAAAACTAAGACCTTTGAAAACCCTTTACACCTACTTTATCTCCTTTCCATACAGAACCAACTCTCCACTGAAAATTTCAATGATTAGCTGAAAAAATAGAAGAATCCGGTCAAAGACAACCAAAACAAATCACAAGATTTAGCATAAAGGACGGAATAAGAAACCGAGATCGAGAATAAACGAGATGAGCAACAACAGAGCAACAAAAACTCACCTTTAGCCCAAACCGCGAGCATCACGGTGGCGAGGAGGGAGAAGAGAGTGAGAACAGGTGGATGGATCGAGCAAGATGCAAACTTTTCCGCAGACTGAGAGCCGAACGGAGACGAAACTGAGAAAGGGAATTTGATCGAGAGGCGAACTGCAGCTTAGTGCCTAGAGCCTCCTTGCACCAGAGATCCTCTCCGGCTAGAGCCTCCCTGCACCAGAGATCTCTGCGATCTTTTCCTCGCATGCCTAGGTCTACGACCAAATGGGGAAGAGGAGGGATGAGAGGAGGGAGGAGAGGAATTTTCTTCCCTGGAGAGTAAATATGGGTAGCCACGGAGGCGACAGAGGCAGGATCAACTACGATCGGGTTTAGCGAGGGTAAGCGAGTAAAAGCTATAGGGCGAACGCGGATCGTGGGGGTATACCCGCGGTCGACATTTAATAGAAAATAGAAAACTCGGTTTTTAAAAACTCATCTAAAACGCGAGAAACAAACAGTGAGGCGACATTTTGAAAACGCCGCCGCACTTATAAGCTGCCCCAAACTGGCCCTAAGAAGGGGACCTAGTGTGGATTCTGCTGAAGAAGGAAATGTTTCCATGAAGGTGAGGGAAATGTTTCCAAGAGAAGGTGCATTTTACATATTAAATAAAAAAGTTTAAAAAAACTATGCATGTACTGTATGCATCTATGATATACAAAAAAGTGACCTGTCATCTACATGTATAGAGAAAATTCCCTATCTTAATCTACATTCATCAAAAAGAAAGAACCATTAAGGGCATGCTGAGCACAAAAATCGGCGGCCTTATTACAAACACGTGATCTTCAAAAAAATAAAATTTGCTTGAAGTTCAAGAGGAAGGCTATGTCATGATCCTCAAATTGTTGCCGTTTCCACCTGTCCTTCCTCATGGAGGATTGCAAAAACTTCATAATATCTGCATTGTTGCCTTCTATAATGATGCCCTTAAGCCCAAACATCTAAGGAGCACACTTGTTTTGTAAAGCTTTGATTGCTCGGAGTTCAGCTTGTGCGATGTCCTAGTGCTCAAATTGCTCTCCAGCGACACAAATATCCAACCTTGCTCGCGTCGAAAGATAACACCAACATCCACAGCTTTGGAAGGAATTAGAGCTCTGTTGATATTAATCTTTAGCCATCTTGGAGGGTTGGGGGGGATACCAAAAAGATTGAAACCAACCCAATGGATTGGCTAGTATCCCGCTGCTTTCGGAATGGATAAAGATATGATCTAGTGAGCGCCTCAAAAATAGAAGATGCAATGATCGTGGGTGTACCATAAGCCTGATCATGGATTTTGGCATTGTGAGCACGCCAACAAAAGTGGATGATCTAGCAATAACAACGAGCCTGTTTGATATTGTGCTTACTTATTTTTTGGAGTTCCTCGATAGCCTCTGTAAAATTGTGGAATGTTGGTATAGAGACCCCCCATCCTTTCATAATATCTTTGATCCAACAAAATAACAATCAATTAGTACAAATGTGGTCTTTATTCTTGATTTCGGAGCAGCCCCAGGGGCACATTAAGGAGTCTGTAAGGCGCTTCTTGGCAAGCCACTCCTTAGTAAGAATTGCATCATGTAACAATCTCCACCAAAGAATCGTTTCCTCAGATGCATCTGCAAACTACTAAGCCATTCTTGCTCGGTTTCAGGTTGGTCATAGACAGGTAAATACACAAAAGCTGTGAATGTTCTTTCCGAGTGCTTGTATTTAAGCTTGATATAGTCCTCCATAAGCGTGTGGTGGATTTCAGTCCACATCACCTTATCCCCCATATAATCTCCAAAGGTCCCATACACATCTTTGGCATTTCATGCCCCATTAGTAATAAAATCAGGTATCTTTGATTCCTCTGACTTTTTTACATTGTTCGGACAAGACCACTTGGCAATCAGTGCATCCGTAATTAAAGCTTGGTTGATAGCGTCAATTCTCTCCCCATTGGCTATACATCATCTCGTGATTGATTGCAAGGAACTGACCCCCTTCACATTGCAATTTCCAATTAATGGAGGTGCCCGGTTTGTGATCCTTGGCCTAAAGGTCCTGCCCATACTTCTTCCTTAAGCATTAATTGTGGTCTAATTGGAGCATTCATGAAGCTCAAGCCCAAAGCAAATGGATCATTCTGGATCATCAAGCAAGTGAACGACAATGCCTATAAGATTGATCTATTAGGGGACTACAATATTTATGCTACATTCAATGTGGCGAGCTTGGATTTGTACTATAAAGGACCATCAACTTTGATGAATGAGTTCAAAGTTCCCTTAATCTTTGGAGACTGATGCGGGGCTCCTTGGGGGCTGAATCGGAAATGGCTGAACCGATTATAGCCAAGGGATGACAGGGGCCGACCGGTTCCTGTCTATGGGCTAGGGTCGCCTCCCATGGGGAGGGCCTTCTCCCTCCTAGTTACTTATTCTTATGTGAGTGCGTGCGCTCGCGCTCGCGTGTATATGCTGTTTTATTTTGTTAGGGTTAAGTTTTTGTTTTTTAGAATTTTGTGTTGTCAGCGTCGTTTCCCTAGCTAGGGTTGTATCTGAGGATTGGTGGTGCTCCAAGGTGGTGATCATCTTCGCCGCTCATTGTTGCTTGCTTCTTGTTCGTTGCCTCCAATCCTCCTACATGCTTGTTGCTATTGCCAATCCCTCCCATCTTTTCTGCTGCTGCCTCCAATCCCTCCGAGTTTCCTAGCTGGTTGCTGTCACCCCCACCTCCACCCCGAGATGTTGCTGCCGCCCCTTTCCCCATAACCCATCTATTTTTGCCGCACATCCATACCGTTCCCTACTTGTTGTCTAGTCGCAGCCTTCCTTTTTCGTCCTCACCCTAGAGAGTCGTTTGTGTTTTTGTTGTTTTGTTCCTGTTTTACGAGTCTTCGTTCTAACCCCTCTGAATTTCAACAATATTATTCTGCTGTAGATTGGGCTAACTCCAGTATCAGTCACTCTTTGACTTGTTGTCAATAATGAGTTTGACATTTTGTGTTTGTTTTAAGCAATGTTTCAGACATACAGTGAGTGTAAGCTTAAAATGGCTATTTAAGAAATCAATTCTTCTATTAATATGCATTTTCAGCATGGTACTTGTGTTGATCTTTATTCCTTTTCATTACCCTTGTTGGCGCTTCTGTTAGAATGGAGTTATTACTATTCATCTGTTTTGGGAAAAAATGCAAGTCTTCTAATTCTCCGAGAAATGCAATAGTTTTTTTTTTCCTTTTTTTTATTGTATCCGTTACTATAAGAAATGCAGCTATACTCGTTGTATATTTTACTGTTCTATCGGATATTCCAGGATTTTGTATGAAAAGATGCTTTGCAAATGCTTGAGAGTGCGCTCGAAGATGCTTTGCAAATGTTTGAGAGTGCGCTTGTGTTGATCTTTATTCCTTTTCATTACTCTTGTTGGCGCTTTTGTTAGAATGGAGTTATTACTATTCATCTGTTTTGGGAAAAAATGCTAGACTTCTAATTCTCCGAGAAATGCACTAGCTTTTTTTTTTCCTTTTTTTGTTGTATCCGTTACTATAAGAAATGCAGCTGTACTCGTATATTTTACTGTTCTATCGGATATTCCAGGATTTTGTACGACAAGATGCTTTGCAAATGCTTGAGTGCGCGCTTGAAGGTTCAGGTTCTGGTGGTGTATCTGCTGCTTACTCGGAATCTTTCAGGATCATCATGCGATTAGGTGTGAGTGATAAAGCATTTATTGTTAGGCTTGCTGCAGCAAGATGCTTGAAAACATTTGCTAGCATAGGTGGTCCTGGTCTATCAACCACAGAGCTTGAAAATTCAATGTTACATTGTCTCAAGGTATAGTTTTAGTCGTATCTTTCTTAACTTTCTCTTCATTTTTAACTTTTTTGTATCTCTTAGTTTCATTTTTATTTCTTTTATTATAGAGAAAGTGCCAAAATTGTTCCCTGACTGTTTACATTGCGCAATTTTAATCCTAGAGTATATAACAATATCAAATTATTCTCCAGATTCTTTAAAATGAGGCTGAAATTGTCTTTATGAAGGACTATTAGAACCGCAATTGAAAGAATCTGAGACTAATCTGACATTTTCATAGACTTCGGAACAAAAATGACCATATAAACAGTCAAGGGACTATTTTGGCACTTTATTCTTTTATTATATATTGATCATAAGGGGCATAACCAAAATTATTATTTAGGGTGGAAAAGATCAATAAATTCTTGGGGCTGTTCAACCGGGACATAACCTGATTCCGTCTTAGTGCATCATGGTTTAGCACCTACTTGGTTTGTTTAGTGTATAATTGTTAATATTCATGTAGGCGCTTGAAGATACGATCTCCTCTCTTAGGGATGCATTTGCAGAGGCTTTAGGTGCATTGCTTGCTCTTGCATTGAATCTTGTTGCACAGGTATACCATGTCCACTTTTATCTGTCTATTCATTCATTTTCTGTGGATCTTTCCGTTTAATGATAAGTGATTATTTGATGTAAAGGTTAATAAAAAAGGAAATGATTACCCTGTTCCAGCAAAGAAATTGGAGGATAGTTTGCAAAAGTATATGATCTTACCATTCATTAAAGGTAATGCTCTTCATATTGGTAGTGGAGTCCATTCGTGTCCTTCAGTCTGTCGTTTATTTTTCATTGCTTCTGCAAGTGCTGATTGAATATTGTTTGCTTTTAAGCTTGGACTGTTTAGATGGCTTTTTGATAAAAGTTCTTAATTATGATATTTTTAATTTAATTTTCATTTTTTTGATCGCTTCCTTTGTAGTTTTTTACACGCTTCATCTAAGAAATTTTGACGCCTCAATTTTTCTAAAGCTTTGAAATATTTTTACTTTGCTGAAGATGCAGAGGACTGCAATCCTTAGCTGTTGGAATATTAAACTTATTTTCTATTTTAACTCATGCTTTCGTTAAATCAATTATGTTATCGTTTTACCATGTCATGTTTTGTAATTATCTTGATGCCGTAATTCTATATTTGTATTTTTATGATGCTGTATAAATTCTCCATGTTAAAACCACGTGAAATCTCATCATTTTCAACTTATCAATGTTGGAGAGGCATATCAGGAAGTGTAAATCATTGTGTATAATAAGAAATGACAGATAAGATACTGAACCTTCTCATGCAACTTTCTGGATCTCTCGGAAGAGCAACTCCTTGAACTCCCAAAATGAGAGGGTGATATCAAGCTTTCAAGCAAGTATCCATCATCCTGAACTCTTGATCATCAAGATATTTTTTGTTTTGCCTTAGTGTCCTGTCATAGTTTTATCTCTTTGCTATAACTTCTCCGGGGTCACCCATTTTTTGGGTGCTCTCATATGAGCATGATTTGATGCTTTTGTTGAAATTTGATTTAATGTTGTGGCCCAAACCGGGAGCTTGGAATATCAAAACAGGAACGAACGGTTGCATGGAGGAATAACATTCAAAATATTTCCATTTGATAAACAAAATCATTCAATACCTGAAAGAGCCATTTTATTTCAAAAACTTTTATTTGCACATATTTATTCACATTTAAACTTTTACAATTGAAAGAAAGTAAAAAAACTAGAACTTTTATTTGCACAGATTTATTCACATTTAAACTTTTACAATTGAAAGAAAGTAAAAAAAAACTAAAATTTTGTACCTTTTTCCTCGAGTTTCTTGACGTCGGTACACATATTCTTTAGGATCCATTTATTCTACAATAGATTTTTCTGAAAAATGTAAGCAATTGAAGATATTAATTAAACTATTCACCGGGTAAAATTTTCTAAATTACAATAATTTTATTTTAAAGATATTTTTGTAAAAAGCCTATAAGCAATAAAAAAGAAACAATAAAAATTATAATTTATGATTTTTTTTATTTATTTCAATTAAAATATCCGTTGGTGGGAATCACTCTCTAAACATATACTAAAAGTATATGCTTAAATCTTTTTTCAGAATTTACTAAAAAGACAGACAACTTTTCTATTTATATTTCTATATCCAATTTCATTTTTCATGCACGAGTATATTACATCTTTGGCCAGTATCATCTGCGGATGAATCCACATATGCATTAATATATTGTGGAAATCTGTGAAGAACCTGAAAGATTTGATTGAGACATCTCAGGAAACCGTTGATTAGTTTGTTCTCTTCTTATTCTGTGTTGTTTTATTTTTTTATTTTGGAATAAATTCGTTTTCTATTTGAGGTTAGATATATTTAATTTGTTTATAAATTTAGATAGATTATTTTCTCTATATATATGTACCCTATATGTGAGTGATAAGAATCAAGAGAATTATTCCTCTCCAAACCTATTTTCTGCATGATGTTAGAGTTAGGAAATGAAACCTAGATCTCTTTCCAGCCGCTAGAATTTTCTTTGTATCCACTTGTCTTCTTGCACTCCGTCAGAGCTTCTCCATCTACAGTCCCCAGTACCAGAATTCTTCCCCTGCAGCTAGTCTCTTGTCTTCCTGTGGAGCAGCCGCAGGAAGCAGAGCTGCTCTTTCCGTGGTTGGTTTCGTCAATCTACTGCAGTAGAACTACCTCCTTAGCAAGCAGAACTTCTAGGGCAAACAACAACCAACATACATTCTTATGGCAATCTATTCCAGCAGAAGTTTCCGAAGCAGTGGCAGCAAGAAGAAGCTTCAGTCCAACAACTAGAAGCAACCCTAAATACACTCAGGGATGATGACCAAGTACGAGATGGTGACATTAAGATCTACTCTGGAGGTTAATTTAAAATTAGAGACCAGAGATTCTGTACTGACAACTATTGAACTCCAACTTTATCACAAATCATATACTCAATGACCATAAGTACCTTCAATAGTCCTAATCTGTGTTTGTGTATTGTGTTAAAGGAAAAGAAGAACATCTCAAAGGAGATAACACAGTTTCTGAGATGACTGATCCTAACCACAACACATGAAAGAATCAAGATCATATGGTTATCTTGGCTAGTCAAATCAATGACTATTAAAGTAGGAGAAAATTTTTCTGCTTTACAAAACTGGCAATGAAATTTGGGAGGCCGCCAAAAAAACATATTTTAACACCGAAAACTCGACAGAGTTGTTTCAGATCGAAACCAAACTTCATGAACTTTGTCAGTGAGAGTTAAGTGTCACCGAATACTTCAACACCTTGATAAAATATTGGCTACAATTGGATATGTTTGAGATGTGTGGAAATACTCACATGAAACCATCAAATTTAAATTCATTAGCGAGAAGAAGAAAACCGTCAACTTCCTAGTACGTCTGACTTAAGAATTGGATGAGGTGAGAGGGAGGATCATGGGAACAAAGCCCTTTCCATCTGCCCGTGAAGCTTTTGCTTAAATCAGGATAGAAGAGAGCAGGAATAAGCTAATGCTGACTAAATGGGGGCTCACCAGGTAACGAAAGTTTGGCCTTGTACACTCATAACTTCTTACACGACTCAAAGCACAAGTAGAATTGTCCCACATGTGACTATTGTAAGAAGATTGAGCATATCAAGGACATCTGTTGGAAACTTCATAAATAGCTTGCAAATTGGAAACCTGAACAAGGAAGAAAAGATAAAGAGAAAATGGCTAATGTTGCTACCACATCCGAAGGGTCGACTGAATCATTCAACATGGAGTAGCTTGAAGTATTGAAAAAAATTCTTGAAGATATTCAGAGCAACACACCTACCTCATGATACATTAAGGTGGTATATTCTTCGCCCAACTTGCTAAAAATGTGAAATTTAAAACTTGGATGATAGATTCAGGTGCATTTAATCATATGGTCAGAGATATCAATATTCTGTTAAACTATCAATAGTCTTCTACATCTAGATCGCTAAAATTTATAGGTGGATCACACTCAAACATTGCTGAGAAAGGAGATCTGGAGCTGTCTTATGATTTCACTTTTTCTATGTTTTATATATTCCATAGTTGGACTATAATTTCATTTAGGTTCGTAAGCTTAATCATGATATGAAATGTATAACTAAATAACTTTATTATTATTTTTTTTGAATTTTAGGTGTTGGAGTCGGAGAAGGTGATTGAAAACACTTAAATGCATCAAGACTTACACATGCTCAATAAAAGTCTCTCTGTAAATATATAAATGATCCCATCTCCTTTTTATGTTGAGTCTGTGTCTGTCAAAAACTAAAACTTGTTATGATACTGTCGCCTGACTTCTATTATATTGCTAATTTGCATTTTCATTCATTTATCAATAAAAAAACTTAGTCTTTATCAATGTCAAATTTGTTAACTCACCATACACATTAGAGAGTTATTCTGACCCAATACATATCCTCACTCCTTTTTGCCATTATCCACAGTGATATTTGGGACCTTCAAAAGTAAGAACTCTTAGTGAGGCTAAGTTGTTAGTCTCATTCATTACTGATTACACTAGAATCCATTGGGTATTCTTAATGATGGAGAAATCTGAAACAACGAAAATCTTCGAAATATTTCATGATATTCAGACTTAATTCCAATGCAAAATTTAGATTCTCAAAACTAATTATGCAAATGAATATTTTAACTCCATTCTTGGATCTTACCTTTCAAAAAATGAAATAATTCATGTGAGTTCATGTATTGATACCCACTATAAAATGAGATAGTTGAGAGAAAGAACATATCTTTTTAAAATATCCCGCTCAGTTATGATTTCATATCAAGTTCCAAAATGTTTTTTGAGGGAAACAGTTCTTACTGCCACATATCTTATTAATAATCTAATGTCTAACCAGGTACAAAGCACCTCTTTGTTTTTTGATTATTTATTCTCACATTATAACTTTCTCTTCTACTGTCCCATTTAAAATCTTTGGGTGTGTATCCTTTATGCACGACCTTCCTAAGATCACCCAAAACTTGATCTTAAATTTATAAGTGAATTTTTTTTGGTATGTCACTAATAAAGAGGAGTATAAGTGCCACTCTTATGTTATAAAAAAATACTAAAATTTCATGGATGCCATATTTTTTTGTAAATCATTCATACTATCCCAAATCTGATGTTCAGGGGAGAGTGCAAATAAGCATCTGTTTTGGGATGCACTTGTTGACATCTACATTACCTCACCACACTCCAACTTGCCCTCCTGCTGGTTGATGATGCCAAACCAACCCAACCTGTAGTCCAGAATAAAGAACTTCGTGTGTACACAAGGAGAAAGAAAAACCTCGAGTACGTGGAAAACAACTTGCAATGCAGATTTGTTCTCGAGTTCACATTCTTCTAGAATTTTTGGTAAGGAGTCTATCTCATGAGTTATCTCCTTCCTCTTCTGATGTTGATGACAAAGAAAGTTGCATTAGATATCTATTTCAAGATTATGTACTTAGCTTATGGGAAGTTATCCTCACCCCACAAAATTTTTATTTTTAACCTTGATAGAATGCATATTTCTAAATCCCTTCATAAAGCTCTTGAAAATCCAAAACGGAGGAAAACAATTGAAGAGGAGTTCGAGCACTAGTTTATTCTCTTCCAATTCGATGTTATTTTATTTTGTATTTTAGGTTTATTTCCTTCCAAATTTAGGTTAGTTATATTCGCTCCACATTTGAATAATAAAAATCAAGTGATATATTAGTCTCTAAGCCTATTTTCTGCATATATCATATTTTATTTATTTCTTTTATTTAACATCTTAAAAAGTAATTTGTAATTTCAAAAGAAGGTGCTAAAAATTATAAAAACAATTGTAATTGATTTAATAAATCGATTGAATTATTGTTAAATGAAGACATATTTGCTGATCTGTTTAATATAGTCTGCTATCTTTTTTTTGGTTAGTCTAGTCTTTTGGTGTACTTATAATGACAAATTATTTTTAATTAGCTTATATCGGTGTTGTCCTTCTCTCGTGTGAATTCTAATCTAAATTCTTTGATATCTTCACTTGCATTTTCATTTTCATACTAGTTGCATGTATTAATGATTATTCAATAATTACTTTTATTCTATTTAAACTTTTCATTTAAATTTTTTAGCAATATCTATGGCTTAAGGTGAAGTTATTAAATTCATTTATTAATACAATTTATAATACATAATAGATAATTTAATTGAATTTTTAAAATTTTTTGCCTCAAATTTTATTTTGGCATGCTTCATCCTAAGAATAAATCTAAGGTTATTAAAGATCAATTAAATCTTTGCCCAATCAAATTTACACTTACCAATGAACAAATTTAGTATTAAATTTGGTGTCATACTTGAAATTTCTCTTTCTTCCTTTTTTTGGTTGCTTCATTCTTGCCAAATTTCTTAAACAATATTTTAAACCAAATTTAAATTTAGGGTTTTTGAAATTTATTATGTTCTTTTTCAAACTCGATAAAATATTGAAGTAAAATTTGGGTTACAAAATTATAATCTAATGCTATAAAACCCTTATTTTCTCTTGTTGCCTTGCCTTAATTTATGCGCTCGGAGCACAGAGGCAATCAGACGAGCCCCTCTTGGTTTGCAGAAATTGCCGCACGATAGGGAAAGCTCTCGGATTCTCTCTGCCTTCGCACAGGAGGCCTCGGTCCGCCTTGCACGCAGCTTCGGTCGTAATGCGTTTTGCTTCAATTGTAGCTGTTTAAGAAGGCTCATTTGAACCATTTTACTGCTTGAACTGCATCATTCACCTGCAGGAGATACTGCTCGAGCTAGTGCTGTAATCTAGTTGAGTCGAGCCGAGTATGTCTTAGTTCAAACTTGGCTTGATATAATTGTAAGTTGTTCATTTTCGGTTTGAGCTTGTGTCGAGCTTTCATATATTGATCAAGCTTAACTTGTTTAAAATTTTTAATGTTTGAACTTGATTTGTGCTTGGTTTGTTTATGAGAGGTGAACGAGTATTTAAACGAGTTAAAAATTTAAATGAGTATCTGGATTTTCATACAAAAAAATCGATAAATAATTTTTCAAATTTGATCGCAACTATTAATTTATTGATTAAAAATTCTAACCCCCGACAATATCTTGAATCTCATTTTTCCTACATTTTGCCATAAATCTGTTTCTTAGGGGTTAGTTTAGTCAAATGATTTGTGTAGCATTTAAGCACGATTACTTAAAACCTACCAAACAACTAAAAATGACAATTTAAAATCTACCCGAACTTAATATTTTAGTATTTATATATCATACATGATACTAGCTATCATCAATGAGTTAGTATTCTAATTAATTAAATTTTATTTAAATAATATATCATATATGCTATGAACTATCGTCGAGCTTATTATTGAATACTTAACAAGTTACTGGTTGAACAACAAACGAGTTTATTTCGTGAACATAATGAACAAGTTTGACTATGTTTATGTGTAGTTCATTTAAGCTTCGAGCTTTTAAAAATTGTTCAAGCTTGTTTATTTCCTAATTTAAACGAACATGATTAATTCTTAATCAAGCCGAGTTCAAGTTGTTCATCGAGTGCATTGGTTCACTTACATCCCTAGCTCTAGCCGTATACACTTCTCTTGCGCGACTGACCGTACGTAATGTTTGCGGCCTTCCCTTCTCTTCCTTGCTCATGGCTCACTTCCCTTTGATCACTGCTTGCAAGCACTTGTTCAAGCCGCTTAATGTATATACACGAAGGGATTACTTACTCTTTTCTTTTTCTGGCCAGTCCTCTATCTTTTGCCTTTGTCTCTCGTCTTCTCCTCCTCTCTGCTACTGCCTTTCTATGTCTTGCCTGCTGCTCTAGTGATGTCAAACCAAACTAACGAGTGGATAAATCCCTCGTATTAGCTTCCTAAGGGAGGTGGGAGTGACGATTTTGAGCATAATAATTGGTTTTGTTAAGTTTTTATTGATAATTAAGTTAAATTACATTTAATAGAAAATTATTACATTTACACCAGATTTTTCAATGTATAAGAGTTTAGCTTTATTTTATTAAGGGGTTCTACAATCTCTTTCAGTAAGTAATTGATATCCTTGTTAGTATGGTTAATCTCGAATTATTAACCTGGTTGATTATATTCTTGAGTTGTCCTGTATTTGTTCAAGAGGTGGCTCCTATCTTGTAGTACTTGTCCTATCTAGTGTAGCACTTGTCTTGTACAACCGACACCAATTTAAATGCATAGCAAAGCAAACCTAATTGGTTTTAACTTTGGCTTAATAAATTCAATGTCTCTAGCAAGAATCAAATGTTGAAACTTACCACTGGAAAACTACTCACAAATTAGTGCAAAGAAGTGCAAAACAGTAGGAACAGTGAGGATATATCTCTAAAATATTGTTTCCCAGATGATACTAAGGCCGCAGGCCTATATAATTGAAAGCTGAATTGCATTAAATATTTGCTGTTGCTAATCTGCCTCTAATTTTTCTTGTTTCAATACACATTTTTCAAACTGAGGTTTTGATTTAGTTTCTCCTCGGGGAAAATATTTGCGTACATAAGATGTACGCAGCTCTGCGTACATCTGGGGTTATTCAGGGGGTACAATGGGATTATATCTGGGTTATACCCCCTTGTAACCTCCGGTATAACCCGGATATAACTCCACTGTACCCCCAGAATAACCTTTGAGAATAACCTCTGATATACACAGCGCTGCGTACATTTTATGTACGCAAATATTTCTCCTCGGTTAGGTGTGCTTGTGGAAGTTCTGTATTCCATTTGGTTGCATGAAATAGAGGTGGTAGGATATGACTCTCGCAAAGTTGTCCCTTCCAGCAGACCGACGGACAATGCCAAATCGATGACAATAATTAAATGTTCATATTGAGATCAAACATGGAATTTACATAACTAAAAGCGGAGAACCTGATATCTGTTGAATTCTTATATCGCTAGCTGGGGATGGCCAAGTTTTCTTACTTCTGTTGAACCATAGACGATGCAGGGTATTGCGTCTTATGTAAATTGGTCTGAAAATTGTTGAAAAATGGCTAGATTAGCGCGATACAATCTTACGCAATACAGATAAGCTTATCGTGATCACATCAAAAGGTTTTGCGGCTGATGATAACCAAGAGAAGTTTGCAAGGCCTCTTCCTTTGCATGATTATCTAATAGTCTTTTGTGTGCATGTCTATCCTATTGATAAGAAAAATTAATTTATACTATACTTTTTTTCTTAGAAGTTTTTTTAGAGGCAACAAATTGGAAATCAACTTCATTAATCTTCTTCTCTACCTTTGAAACTACGCATGAACCAAGTTTTCATTGAATTCTGCAATTACTGGCCACTGATCACGCTGTTCATTATTTCATTGTAATTTTTCATATTTTCTATACAATCAGTAACTTATTTTGTATGAAATCTTGTGTTTGTGTTTTGCATTTTGAATAATGGTTCTGACCTTAAAATAATCTTTGAAAAAGTATGAATTTCAAGTATCACTTATTGAACATTGCTAAGTTTTTTTAATAACTTTTATGTTTGAATAAATCTTTGTAGCATGTTATGAATTTTGGTTTATAGCTGTTCTCATTGAATGTATTAAAGTTAGCCGCATTGATTTTGATTTTAGAAATTGTTGTTCAACATGTAATTGATAGGAGTAGTGCAGTTTTTTACTCATTTTTGTCTCTTTGTATATCTATATAATAAAATAGAGGTAAATCGGATGGTGGCGTTTTATTCCTTTATATATTTTTTTCCTTACAAACGGCTGGTATTATTCCTTTCTCGTGAATGCTTTTGAGTGATTTATTTGGCAGGCAATCTTTCAAATAGATAGTAAGCCCAAACATTATCGAAAGGGGACGATTTTGTTTAATAGTCTGATCCTCTTGAGTTGGGCGTTTTTTATAATTACGAATTTTTGAGTAAATTATATTTTATTTTCTAACCAAATAAACCATATCATCAGTGATTTTTATGGCTTCTTAGTATCTCAATTATAATCATCTCACGATATTGTATTAAATAAACAATATTATTCTAGATTCATTTTCTTACATTTATCTTATTGGTAGCATTTTCAACTATTTGTTGCAGCAACTGGAGTGAGGGCTAAGGATTTGAGAATTGGGTTGACTTTATCGTGGGTTTTCTTTCTTCAGGTATTCACACCACTCACACCTTTTAATCTCTAAGAAATATTCAAAACAAATCCCCCAATATTATCACAAATTGCTAGCTTTATTTGTGTTTTCTTTTTTTTTCTAATATTTATATAACCCATACTTGTGGTATGATAGGCTTTATGTGTTTGTATGCTTGCTTTAGTTTTTGGGGATTTGGAAGCTTCAATGTTTAATTTCAATTCGGAAGGATCAGGATTTTGTTAGGCCTAAAATTTAATCCCGAATTAGAGTTAGGAAGAGTTAAAAGTATTTTTTAAACCATGTTTTGGTAGAACAATAGGGCGATGGAAGGAGGTGAGTGGTTTCTTGTTCGATGATGAATCTAATGGAAGTGTTGCAGAACACAGGTGATGGTTGGATGAGGAGAATAAGGATAAACAAGGGGTTTAAAAAATTGACCCGACACACCAACTTGACTGGAACTCGAATTTAAAAATCCTGACTCGGGTTGACCCGAATAATTTTTAGGTTCAATTTGCGTTAGGAATCCTAACCCATTTATGTTTTTGGGACTGGTTCATGTCGACACAACAAACTAAAATTGAACTGAAAAAATGGCTCACTATTCTTTAACTGACTCAAAATTGAGCAGTTAACTCATAGATGACCTGAAATTGACTCGAATTTCAATCAAATAACAGTTATCCCTTAAGTTAGACTGATTATAAGGTTGGGGTTTGGATCAACGGGCTGAAGGCGGGTTAGGTTTGGGTTGAACTTTTTGACCCGTTTAACATTTGGGTCAAATTAGGATCAAACAGTTTTGGTTTGGGTTCGGTTCAGCCAATTTTGGGTCAGCCTAGAGCTTGACCCAAAACCTGATTTGCCCCCTAGGATGAAAACACTTCACTTGATTTTTTATTTTTTTTTATTTTTATATTTTGTAAATAATGTACAAAGCGTGTTCTAACATATCCCACAAGTTGATTTATGCCGTGAGAAGGGGTGCAAGGCACAGACTTAGGAGATGGTTATGCTTTAATTATTTTAGTCGGTAACTGTCTCTTTGCTTATTCAGCCACATTTCAAGTCTTTTTTTTGTTTTTTTACTAGACATTATGTTGGGATAAGGTAAGTTTTGCGGGATAAAGTTTAAAATAAAGGCAAAGAGTATGTGGTACTGTCTTATGTTAGTCTTCCACCGTTCAAATAGGAAAACAGGAAAAGATCAATGTGGTAAAAGTCCTTGCATTATCAAAGGTTGAGGTTGAATATTTTTTTTTGATTCGGAAGAGAGACCAAGATTAATTTTAGATGGCTTGTGATTTTCCAAGAAGTGGCCGTACTTCTTAATTTTGACCTTCTCTTTAGGTATTGTTGGTGAGGACTTGCTTGAGATGTAGAAGAGGTGGTTCGAAGTGTTGGTTAACCAGGAACTCATATGATTGGACGTGGGAGCCTTTTTTTTTGCTTTTTAATGTTTGTTGACTTGCTTATGTTTCTCCTAATCCAATTTGATTGAGCATGACAAAATGACACACCTAGATGTGAGTCACGCCGATTCAATCAATTATTGTGAAAACAACTGTCAATGGATGCGTCATGACATAAATCTAGTTTGCAATGGCCCAAGCATAATCAAAGTCATTCAACCATCCCTTGTTTGCTAGTCATTTTGCGCTAACATGTTTGGAATGTCAGAATAATCCTTATCTATTGGGGAACAAGAAATTTTTTTGTGCCGAATGAGAAAAAATGCGCAAAATTTATTCTTTGTGGATTTTTTTTTTTGATATTAATAGCGATGAAGAAGTAGGTGATGTCAATTCATGCATTTATTGACTTCTTTTATTTTAATTAAATCAATTTTAAAAAGCAAATTAAAACAATCAATTCTGCTCACCCGTATCTTCGTCGTCACAGAACAAATCTTGCAATCCATTCATAGGGTCCAATTCAGTCCATTTTCATTTTACATAAACATGCACTTTTTTCCTCGTAGTTCCGTAGATCCTTTATAATCTTTCAAGTGTGCTCGTAGCTCACATTTTCTCTTTTGAAGAAAAAATGTGAGAGAGAATATTCACGTAATTCTTATTCCAATTATTTAACTATAAGGCTACATATATAGAAAATTATGGCTCTTAATTTACAATCTTACAAAATATATCTGGCATCAACATGGAAAGGAATAATTTCTGAAATAAACATAAATATTAAGAGAAAAGAAAAACTAATTAATTTTCCTAAATTGTCTCAAATTAATCCATCCATCCCTCAGATGGTTGACCTGGTCCCACCATGGAAAGGCGACTGATCATCCTAGATTTCCACACTCGCCCTCAAGCCGAGTCGTAGGTATTGTAGATACCAAGCTTGGTATTAAGCTTTGCGAAGTTGTTTAAAAGAATAGCTTTGGTGTAAACATCAATAACTTGTTGTTGTGTCGGGTTATAACTTCGCTGTATAATTCCAATATTAACCTTTTTAAAGATAAAGTGTTTATTAATTTCAATATGTTTGGTTCTGTCATGATTTACAAAGTTCTTGACAACACTTATATCTGTTTGACAATTACAAAACTTTTAAATAGGCCTATTAGAGGGGCACCCCAATTCTCTTAACAAATTCTGAATCCAGATCCCTTCATAGATTCTTAAGATAAGTGCTTTAATTCTAATTCTCTTTATTGTCAATCCTTTATGCTTGGGTGAACTTTTGCAACCAGTATAGCTTTGAATCTCTCAATACCATCATCTGCTCTATACTTCATGTTGAATAATCTTTTTCATCCAACTGACCTCTTCTCCCGAGGAAGATTAGTATGAATCCATGCGCCATTATGCTTTAGTGCTTAAATCTTTTTATAAACTACTTTCCTCCATTGTGAATTTTTAAGAGCTTCATAAATAGATTTAGAAATCTGCACACTATCATTGTTTAGTATAAAAGCTTTATAGGGTGAGGATAACTTCTCATAAACTATATACTTTCGAATTGAATATTTAGTACAACTTTTCTTATCATCAACACCAGAAGTGGAAGGTGATAACTCACAAGTTCTAGGCTCCTCACCCGAAATTTTAGGTGAGTGTGGACTTGATCTTTGGCTCGAGTAGTTTTGTTTTTTGCTATTTGTTTTCCACCTGCTCAAGAATTTTCTTTCTCCTTGTGTTCACACAATGCTCTTTATCATGAACTTGAGATTGGGTTGGTTGGATATTTTCGTGCAGTGGTGTTGGGGGATAAAAGGGCTAGGTGCAAGTGCTGTATGTTGTGAGGCAATGTAGGTGTCATTTAGTGCATTATTAAATTGATGTTCATTTGCACTTTCTCCTAGAACATTATATTTGTGATAGTATGATTAATTTTAAAAAATATGTCATCCATATAGCTGTAGAGTTTTTTGGTAACCGGTGAGTAGCACTTATGACTTTTTGTTGGAGGCATACTCAATAAAAATTCACTTGATGTATTTGGGGTCAAGCTTTGTGCGGTATGGGAAATGCATGCGAACAAAAGGTACACAACAAAAAATTATTGAGAGGTCCTGTAGAAAAGAAAGTTCTGATATGTGGACAATCATTCATTAATACATGAAATGATGTTTTCAAAATTAAGTACTAGGCTAGACATTTAATTGATAAGGTATGCTGCAATAAAACTTATTTCCCTCAAAAATATTTTGGAACTTGATCAGAAATCATAATTGAGCGGGATATCTCAAAAAGATGCCTGCTCTTTTTCTCAACTATCCCGTTTTTCAATGACATATCAATATATGACTCACATGGATGATTTCAGTTTTGGAAAGGTAGGGTCTAAGGATGGAGTTGAATTATTTCTTTGGATTATCAATTTTAAGGATATAAATTTTGTATGAGAATTGAGTTTGAATTTGTCGTGGAAGGTTTGGAAGACTTGCACTTTTTAGATTTTTCCTTCATTAGGAATACCCAAATGTTTCTAGTGTGATTGTCAATGAATGAAATTAAGCATCTAGCCCTACTTAGGGTTATTACTTTTAGAGGTCCTCAAATATCACTGTGGATAATCGAAAGAGGTTATGAAGGTTTGTACTATGCCATGGGATAAACTTTTCTATTATGTTTGTCAAATTGAAAAATCTCACATTGATAAGTAGCAAATTTTTTTATTGATAAATAAATGATGATACAATTTTGAAACATTACTGAAATTAGGATGATCCAAACGATAATGCCATAAGATGATTTGTTTTGCAACAAATATAGATTCAACAGACTCATAAACTTTAGGAAAAGATGAATGTGGGACAACTTATGTGTTTAAAGAGACTTTTATTGATCAGGTATAGGTCTTGATTCATTTCAGCACTGTCAATCACCTTCTTGAAATTCACCACCTAAAATTTACAATAATTTACAAATAATTAAGTTATACATTACATATCATTAGTAAACTTACTGATTGAAATTAAATTAGAGGCCAACTGTGGATCATATAAAATAGATGAAATATTAATGTCCCTAGAGAGCTCCAAATCTTCTTTTTCAACTATTTTTGAGTGTTATTCATTTTCAAGTCTGACAAATCTAGATGTAGATGCCTCTTGATAGTTAACTAGAACATTTATATTTCTAGTCATATGATTAGAAGCTCTTGAATCTATGATCCAAGATCTAAATCTTCCATTGTGGGTAAGACGGAAGAATGATATATTAGCTTTGGTGTTTCATGAGGCTGATGTGTTTCTCTGAATTAGCCCGAAGAAGTTTTTTCATTATTTTATGCTATTTCTTGCTGAGTAGGTTAGCCGACCCTTCAGATATGGTATCAGCATTACCCATGCTCTCTTGATCTTTTCTTCCATGCCCAAATTGTAATCTGCAAGCCTCGATGGAGCTTCAATATTTGTCTTTGAGGTGCCCAATTTTCTTGCAATTGTCACTCATGGGACACTTCTTGAACTTTGAGTTGTAAGAAGGATTGTGGGAGTATGGAGCTAAGCTTCCAACATTGGTGAACTTCCATTTCCCTTCATCATAAGCTCTTTT